GTAGTCATTCTGGTGGATTCTAGATGATTGCTTAGGAAATCCTGCCTGGACAATCAGCTTACCGTGTCCGTATGAGTGGATTCCATACGTGCGGAAGGCTCGGCAGGTAAATCGACCCAATAGTGATTAAATTCAAAGCTTCGGCGTGCCTTCGTACCTCAGTGGTAGAGTTTTGACTATACTAAACCTTTCCCTGCTGATGTGCGTTCGAATTCCACTGACGCCACAAATTTTTCACAGTTGGGTCAATTGAATTATTCGAATCTGTCAACCTCCCGCCCCACCACCGAATAAATAGAATTGAGTTAAGTGGTCTTAAACACGTTATACTTTTTAAGACATGACTGCACTCAAATAAGAGAAATGTCGGTGTTTTCTAGAATCCTTTAGGTCGTAAAAAGAAAACGCTTTGGTGTGTTAAATGCTAAATGACCTACTAAAGCGACTTTTTAGAAGAAGAAGAAGAAGAAGAAGAAGAAGAAGAAGAATAAAAGCTCAAACGTCTTATTTTTAGGAGGATCCATGACTATTAAACTAGGCAAGCCCTGAGATTTCTTTTGAAGACAACACAAACGAACAGACAAAGGGAAGACCTTCGTTTGGGTTTTGCCATAAAGTAAAGTAACTCAGAGAGATTAATTATAAAGGAATGTTAGCAAACAAACGGTCAAATCCTAATATTTAAGGGAGTTACTTAAGTGGACAGGCGACCGCTAGGATACGCTTATCAAAACTGAATTTTAAGCAAACGTGAGTGTGTGGTCAGTTCAGTGCGTAACTAACAGTTTAACATCAATAGACACATGGCAATTTGGTCATGTGTAAAACGATATGGGATTCACCCACTTTATCTAATCTACCGAAGCCTCCAGTCATAATCACGAAGTAATCGCAGTGTTATGTAGAAAAGAAATTGGATAAACGTACATCCGAGGCGGATTCATTGGCGTTTTGGAAGTGCGGTAATTCTTTTGGTCGAATTATAGAGAAATCATCAACGCACAGCCATGAAGCACGACTCGGTGCACACAAATTATTCGAACCACTGGGAAAATCCGTCATTTCGTCAGGCAAACTTCATTTTTTCCTAGGACAAACCACGGATTTGAAGGAGCACTGAAAGTGAAACAAAGGGAATGCAAATTTAATGAACAGATAGTAGCGCAGTACCACGATAGAGCATGAAATTTCTTCCACAGCATGATGGATCATTGGATTCAATTTTATTATTTATTTTTTATTTTGCTCAAGGGAGCGGTAGCTGGTCTAACTTCACTGATAAACGAAACTCTACATATAAATAAATAAAGTATAAGCCTGTTGAAAATTGCGACAGTACAATCAGGAGCTTTCCGTTGATTGTATTACGTTTTCCAGATAACTGTGCGACCGAGAAGTCAGGATAAGTGGGTGCATTGTTAACTGTGTGGGAATTGTGCTACTCAAAGTATCTTGTGTGGAGATAATTGAGCAGGATGGTGCTTTTGAACGCAGAACTAGTGCGTGGGGCAGAGTGCAATGAAATTAAGCAATGGGAACCGTTTGCCGGGACATAAAAACTAAAACGTTGTTTTGTCTGAAATGCGTGCCAAAGGAAACGACAGCAAAGTTTGCAAGCCCGATACTGCCTCTACTGAAGAAGTGGTCGCACCAAGGCGGCATGATGTGTAGTCGTAAAACTATAAGGAATAATAAGAGCTATGTATGCAAATATGCAGTTAGTTTGACCAAGCATTAGCGCGAAATCGGTAAAAAGCATACAATCAAGAGCTAAATGGTTGCATTACCATAGACCAGGATGGATTTATATATATATTTTACCGATTAGAGCTTCCTTGTACAAGTCTCGTACTATAACTGTCGTAAAGTCAAATTCCTATATTT